TCGGCAGGAACTTTATAGAACTGGTGGAGGGGCTCATTCCCAAATTCCATATTCAGATGTGGAAAATCAAATACTAGCTATGTCTTCCAACGTAGATAGTTTGCATAACAGGCATGACTCCGATGGCGTTGAAGGTAATTTTCTCTCATTTTGTTCAATGAATTGTTACTAATGGAATTAGTGTTTCAACTCCACATACAAAACAAGCGGAGGATTTGGTTACATATGTCGTTGACGACACCTTTCTGTCTGATGGTACAAAATTATACACATAAGTTGCATTTTTTAATTCCCCATTTTCATATCTATTACTTTACAGATACTGCTTTTGAATACAAAGAAGTAGTTGTAACCACGGGCATTACCACAACCACTAGTGCAGCGAATGCTGAAGTCGAGTCAGGAGAATATGAAAGTATATATTCTTATTGATATGTTCCCTGTAATCTTAAATGTTAAAGCATCAGCATTTTTTATTACCAAACCAAATTAGACGCTACCGTTCCATATGAACTATGGTATGTTGCTAATTTTTTGTTACAGCCCGCGACGAAAGATACCACCCTAACATTTTCCTAAGCTTTGACTACTTGTCTTTTGATCATTTAATGTTTTTTAATTACAATAGTTGACCGTAATTTTGATCTTGGTCAATTGACCATCATTTCCCATGTGAAATTTTCTGACTGAATCCGAATATGAAGTGAAATTTTATGAAAGTTTAAGAGATATAGCAAAATTTCGGTCTTTTGAGATCTGAAACAAAGTGCAGAGTTTTCACATCCGCTTTTTTCATGTACTTCAAAGCATGATATTTTGTAAATACAATAAGACCCTGTATGTCTACATTTAATAATTAATGTAGGAGTAACGGACACTTAAGTAGAAAGACGCTCAAAAACTTTCCATACAAATTTATGGTTTCATTAATTGTTCAAGCTTTGACTGAAATTTAGGTCGTAAATTTCTATGAAAACCTTAAACTTAATTATAAAGCCTTCTACTTAAGTGATCATAGCTTCTACATTTATTAATAAACAAAGATAAGGAGGGTCTCATTATATTTTCAAAAGATCATACTTTGAAGTACAAGAAAGAAACCGGAAGTGAACACATTTCTTCATATTGATTGTGGTACCGAAAGTAATCCAGTTGGAAATTGTTGTTGGCATAGATGTTAATAAATGTAAAAAGATCCACTAATATAAAAGGAAATTTTTAGATTGGCTAACTGCTTCCGAAGTTATTTGCAATTTAGGACACCGAATTGCTTTCAAAACCAATTTGGCTATATCTCAAGAAATGTTAATTCTTAAAATTTTGGTTCATAATCCGATTCAAGAGAAAATTTTACATTGGAAATATCAAATGTCACCGATCAGAACTTTTTTAAAACCTGTTTACTAGTGTTATTTATTAAAGCACAACTCATTATTGATAATTTTAGCATCTAGAAGATTACGTCGTATCTAAGAAAGTGGCGATACCGTCAGGAAAACAAATTATCAAAAATCAACGGCATTTTTTAGCAACTTTATTACTAAAATTTAATAAGCTATAAAACTGGATACTAAAAATTTCTAGGAATTCTGATTGATATGCTTAAAGTTGAGAAGAAGAAGTTGTAGAATTTTCATAATTTAATTTAAAGTTTGAAATTTGGATTTACATGGTTTTTGTGAGTTAACACTCAAATCCTCATCCGATTTTTTACCGAATTTTCTAAAATTAAATAAACTACGCACACTTCGATTCTTTTACGAAATTTCGAAAGAAAATCGGTAAAGCAATGAATTTTCATGCTGCTATATGAAGTATTGAATGATGAGGTGCTATCGTTTCGTCGCGGGCTGTATGCTGGTTGCGCAAGTTGGGCATCTAATTTGGTTTAACAATGAAAGTTACACCCTGAGAAAAGAAATTAGTTGCGTCAACTAAATATGTGTTCACCACACCTGTGATGCAGTGTACTGAGACTTCATATTTTTACACTTGGAATTAAGATATATTCATATTTGGTATATTCTTTATTGTTTGTTTTCCGTTCCATGTTATATGTACATATATTGAAGCACCAAAATGGGACACTTGGTCTCCTCAGGCTTTGAAGCAACCAATTACTCCTGTTTAAAAAAAAGTAGTACAAAAAGACAACTGAAACAATCGGAATTTGAAAAACTCACAGAAGCGAGAATGGAACTAAATAAAATCCCAATAGAGATGTCTTCCACTGAACTAAAGCAAAAGGAGAAAGAGCATGCGGATAACTCATATGGTCAACTAAGAGCAGAGAAGAGTAGAATTGCACCATATTCAAATGAAAAATCTTCAAGATCATCCAGTTCCTTAATTACCGAGATAATTAAAAAATATTAAAATATTATAGTTACCAAATCATGTGTTCAGAGAAATATTTTTAGCTGACTTTTTTCCGGGTGTACTTATTCAATTCACTTCATGGCTTTTGACAATATTCAAATATCTGTCATAATATTTGCAAAAAGAGTGCATTAATTAAATTAAATTTAATTAAAATTAAAGGACGTATCGCTTACTTACTTCAACAGTGCCATAATCCAAAAAAAAAACAAAACAAATCGACACCTGAAATGCAAAAAGACGTAACAAACATCGTCGGTGAAATGCAAAAGTTGTAACTAATAAAAAATCCAAAATGCACTTTTTAATTGATATTATGGATTTCCTCGAATTAAAACTCCCCACATCGTTTTATGAAAAACAGAGATAATTAGTCACGACATTTTCCGTTTCAGTGGCGATGTTTGTTACGTTTCATTTTCATTTCAGGTAACGAAATATTGAGCTAATTGTGTAGGAATTGCTGTATCGATTACCAGCAGTGTTGCCATTTTAGCCGTTTTCCGGCTAGATTTACCCGGTTGCGATAGCAAACAGCCGGAGAAATTTCGATTTAGCCGGAAGCCGATTTGTTAGCCGTTTTGCAGAAAAGAATTAGCCTTTTTTAGCCGATTTTGCTATTTGCCTTGTTTTCTTAAATTTCAAATATGTATATATGTTTCCATTTTTGACTAAGCGACCCAAAATCTGTTAGAAATGCCTACTAATGATACTAGCCTTATCGTGGGGTAAATTTTCATGTCAGGCAGGGTTGTATGAAATTGGGCGATTTCGCTTATTTTTATTTTAAACGAAGAAGGGTTTTTCTTCATAAAATGTTTGTTATAAATGTCTTAATTTTAAGTGTGAAGTTTTATACGCAAACTTAGAAAATAAGAAATTGTTTCACTGTTAAGACACTTAATATGCGTTTGTGTTTGGATATAGTGCCAACAAAGAGAATAAATATTACATGTAGATATTGTCTTCCCAGATAGCGCATATTCAATTCTGCCTAGATTACAAAACATCATTTTTGCCCACTCCCAAAGGTTTAAGGTAAGGGAAAAATTGATATTTTCAAGCACTATGTACACATATGCATTTTTTAAACAAACTTTTTTGCTGAGAACTTATTTAAATTCCAAAAACCGAATGCCAACTTGAATTAAAGGAACCAACACTGAAGTGAGTCAAAATGAAAATAAAAGAGCACAAATTTCTATGTAAAGCAAAACTCTCTGGGAATCCTACGAGACATCTGCCGGTCATATGACCGGTCATCTAAATGGGAGATCTGCAGTCTTTTGGCATCATATTTTACATCAGAATTGCAGGGATTTCTGAAAAATCTGACCAGTTCTTCTGTGTAACTGTAATTTTGCATCCCTTGTCAACAAATGGCCTCGGTTGATGTTAGCTTAAGGTCGTTGTTTTACTGCCTTAAAATTGAAGGGAAATGTTTACAGCGTTTTTTATGTGTATTGGTTTCTATTTGAGTGTATTGAGAATCGGTCAGTCTGAAAAGGCCTTGTAGGGAAGACAATAGGTTTGTTCGTCGAAAATCCAGCGAGAATTATCACTCAAAATATCAGATAGTAAGAAAAAATGCTCCCAAATTCTCTCTCATGTAGAGAAACTTGCAATTTTCTGTACGAAGGCAAATTTGTAAGTTTTTCTGCCAGCTAGTGTCCACGGTTGCATTTCAAACAAAAGAAATTTATATAGAATTTTTAAAATTCTTTCAGAGGGGCATAAAACAGGATCTACGTGTATATATCTTGTCAGTCCGACTTTCTTTAACATACGTTTCAATTTCTTTGTCTGGTTTACTATATCGACTCTGGTTGGGATTGCATTCCGATTAAGAATAGTTTTTTTTTTGCCGAGTACCTTTCAAATCATTGGAATTAACTAAATTAATTAAGTAAACAAATATTAACTTACATTTTTTTGATTTTAAAATCGCTCCAATTTGTAAATTTTTAAATTTAACGAAATTGTTTATTCAAATTATCGTCGACAAAAAATCCAACCATGTGCCTAATTGCAACTTCTTGCTGGCAAAATTTTTTCCGGCTCGAATTTGTAACTTCTCTCCAAGAAATAGTCTTTTTACTCGTGATTTATTTAAATAAAACATGTGAAATTTAGTTGAAACATTTTAGCCGTTTTTAGCCGGTTTTATTTGCCAATTTAGCCGGTTCGTCTAAAAAGTTCTGGCAACACTGATTACCAGTATTCATCTAGAACAAAACATATATATCGTCGTTTAAAGTGCAAAACCGCGTATCAGCAAAATGCAAAACCGCGTATGTGAAGTTGTAGAAACTATTTTCTAGAGCGTAAAAACTCTCACATTTCAAAATGGCAATATGAATGGTTATCAAAAAATGAGTACGAACAAAATATATTGGAAACACCTTGTGAAAGAAAAGGACAACAGGTTAGTTGCTCAATATGATTGTCAAAAAGTATGTATGTATTAGGGATGTTGCGAATGTGGAATTTTAGACATCCGCGAATGCGAATGCGGATGCGAATATCTAACAGCTAACATCCACGGATGCGGATGCGAATACGGATGTTAAGTATTTAAAAAAAAAAAATTAGAATCTAGCGCTTATACTACGTTCAAATTGACGAGCTAAACGTGTTAAATGGGCTTGAACCAGTTAAATGAACAAAACTTGTTCATAAACAAGTTAAATCACATGCAATTGTTGTTGGAAAATGGAACCAATTAAATCATTTAACTCGTTTGAAAACCAATTCAGCGCCGAGTTGTATCATAAAGCTTTCTGCTCCGGCCAATCAGAAAGACCCAAAAAATTATTATTAAAAATTATCAAAAAATATCAAATTTGTATGCATGTCTGCCCGCCTAAAAAGAGGCCCAGGCGGTAATTAGTTATTTCCCATGAGGTCTCATCGTACGCAGAGATAAATAGTGCATACGAACTAAACATTTTGAAGTCTTTAAGTTAATATCATGAAGCAGACATTCGCACAAAACAAATTGAAGCACAAAAACTTGATTTTGAATATTTTTTTCGAATTTTTATTCGTAATCAAACAACCATCAAAGTTAAGTCCAAATGTTCAATGTGGACGATTGTGTTTTGCAAAAAGCTATTTTCCATTTAACAAGTTAAATGGAGCCAATTTGAACGTAGTATTACAAGCCAAACCAAATAAATACATGTCAGGTTTTTCTAAAGCTTTGTAAAAATAATTCTTCATTCTCATTCCTTTGGCTATTTCAGAATTTGGGGAATCAGTAGCTTTTCTCTTCGCTTTCTTCTTTTGTGTCTAGTAGTTTTTTTTT